GGAGGAACGACCAAACGAACTGGTGAGGCGACGACGACGACGACCGACGACGAAGATCGGCGACGACGATCGAGGAGGAAAAAGTATCGCATATCACTATCCCACATCTCTTTGCCTCGTTGTCTCTTTTCTGTGTCTCCTGGGAGGCCCTCGTCGCCACCGCTGGATTCTCGTTGAAATTCGGGTCGGAACGCATCCCGGGAGTGGTTCGGGGAAGAGGGAGTAGCGGTATCGATACCTTCTCGTTTCCCCAGACCACGACGACGACGATCGACGAGGAGGGTGGCCGCCCTCGCCGTCGCCCCCCCCGTCGCTGCCGTCGCCGTGGTCGTTCCACTTCGGTCTCGTGATGTCGATCGGGAGATCGACAGTGAGAACGATCGTGAGATCAATCATGAAATCGATAATGATATTGATAGGGACACCGATGGTGAGCTATAGTGAGATATAGATTGATCGAAACATGGATTGTGAGATCGCTCGTGGGCTGGACATTCAGAACGATATTCAAATCGCTACTGAAACCGATTGAGACATGGATTGACTGATCGAGTGCGGGATCGATCGTGATAGCGATCGTGGCACCGATCGTGAGATTGATTTTTACATTGATTGTGAGGGGGACGACAACGACGAGCAGGGAGGAAGAGGGAGGAGGAGGACGAGGAGGAGGAGGAGGAGGAGGAGGAACGACCAGACGAACTGGTGAGGCGACGACGACGACGACCGACGACAACGACGAAGATTGGCGACGACGATCGGATGAGGAAAAAGTATCGCAGATCACTATCCCACCATCCTTGCCTCGTTGTCTCTTTTGTGTGTCTCCTGGGAGGCCCTCGTCGCCACCGCTGGATTCTCGTTGAAATCCGGGTCGGAACGCATCTCGGGAGTGGTCCGTTGAAGAGGGACTGGCGGTATCGTTTTTTTTCCGTTCCCCCACAAGGACGACCACGATCGACGAGGATGGGGGCCGCCGCCGCTGTCGCCTCCCTCGTCGCTGCCTTTGCCGTGGTCGTTTCACTTCAGTCTCGTGATGTCGATCGGGAGATCGACAGTAAGAAATATTGTGAGATCGATCATGAAATATAGAATGAGATCGATGGGGAGACCGATGGTGAGATCCATAGTTAGATGATTGATCGACGCATATATTGTAAGATCACTTGTGGACTGGACGTCAGATCGATATCATGATCGCTACTGGCACCGATGGCGACGTGGATTGTTTGATCCATGGTAGGATCGATTGTGATATCGATCGTGGCATCGATTGTGAGATCGATTGTTAGATTGATTGTCCGGCCGCTCGTGATATCGATAGTGACTTCCATTGTGCGATCCAGATTGGCATCGATAGCGAACTCGATCGTGACACCGGTCGGGAGATCCATGCTGACACCGATTTTCAGGTCCACTGTGAGATCGATACTGACAGAGGTACTGAAATCGATGGTGATATCGCTGGTACGATCGACACAGAAGCATTATTCCATCGAGGTGAGAATATTGGTGTGACCGATTGCGATGTAGATAGTGAGATCGATTGTGAGATCCATCCTGGGATCCATAGTGAGACCGATCGAGTATCATCGATAGAGATGCAAAGGGATATCGCTAGCCAGAGCGATAGGGGGAGATCGATTGTCGCATCGCTAATGCGAGCGATAGTGCATCGATCAAGACGGAGGTTCAATTTCCCCATAGTTGGTTCGTGTTTTCTTTCTCTTGTTCCCAACCATCCTGTGGTGTTGGGTCCTCGTTTTGAAGAGACAGCGGCCCGCGTTCACTCCTCCTCCTCCCGCTGCCCCCTCCCTCCTGCCATCATCATCATCATCATCATCATCATCATCATGCACACCCCTCACACGTTTGGTGGCTCCATAGGGAGCTCCACCGAAGGCCCCAGTGCCCGCGCCCGCATGCGTCACCCACACCCATTTCGGCACACCCCTCACACGCTTCGTGGCTCCATAGGGAGCTCCACCGAAGGCCCCAGTGCCGCGCCCGCATGCGTCACCCACACCATTTCGGCACACCCACACGTCGTGTCCATAGGGAGCTCACCGAAGGCCCCAGCCCCTCACACGTTTCGTGGCTCCATAGGGAGCTCCACGAAGGCCCAGTAATTTTTCGGCCCACACCCCCAGTGCATGCGTGCACCCATTTCGGCACACCCCTCACACGTTCGTGGCTCCATAGGGAGCTCCACCGAAGGCCCCAGTGCCCGCGCCCGCATGCGTCACCCACACCCATTTCGGCACACCCCTCACACGTTTCGTGGCTCCATAGGGAGCTCCACCGAAGGCCCCAGTGCCCGCGCCCGCATGCGTCAGCCACACCCATTTCGGCACACCCCTCACACGCTTCGTGGCTCCATAGGGAGCTCCACCGAAGGCCCCAGTGCCCGCGCCCGCATGCGTCACCCACACCCATTTCGGCACACCCCTCACACGTTTCGTGGCTCCATAGGGAGCTCCACCGAAGGCCCCAGTGCCCGCGCCCGCATGCGTCACCCACACCCATTTCGGCACACCCCTCACACGTTTCGTGGCTCCATAGGGAGCTCCACCGAAGGCCCCAGTGCCCGCGCCCGCATGCGTCACCCACACCCATTTCGGCACACCCCTCACACGTTTCGTGGCTCCATAGGGAGCTCCACCGAAGGCCCCAGTGCCCGCGCCCGCATGCGTCACCCACACCCATTTCGGCACACCCCTCACACGTTTCGTGGCTCCATAGGGAGCTCCACCGAAGGCCCCAGTGCCCGCGCCCGCATGCGTCACCACACCCATTTCGGCACACCCCTCACACGTTTCGTGGCTCCATAGGGAGCTCCACCGAAGGCCCCAGTGCCCGCGCCCGCATGCGTCAGCCACACCCATGTCGGCACACCCCTCACACGTTTCGTGGCTCCATAGGGAGCTCCACCGAAGGGGAGCTCCACCGAAGGCCCCAGTGCCCGCGCCCACTACGTCACCCACACCCATTTCGGCACACCCCACACACGTTTCGTGGCCCTATAGGGAGCTCCACCGAAGGCCCCCGTGCCCGCGCCCGCATGCGTCAGCCACTCCCATTTCGGCACACCCCTCACACGTTTCGTGGCTCCATAGGGAGCTCCACCGAAGGCCCCAGTGCCCGCGCCCGCATGCGTCACCCGCACCCATTTCGGCACACCCCTCACACGTTTCGTGGCCCCATAGGGAGCTCCACCGAAGGCCCCAGTGCCTGCGCCCGCATGCGTCAGCCACACCCATTTCGGCACACCCCTCACACGTTTCGTGGCCCCATAGGGAGCTCCGCCGAAGGCCCCAGTGCCCGCGCCCGCATGCGTCAGCCACACCCATGTCGGCACGCCCCTCACGCGTTCCGTGGCCCCATAGGGAGCTCCGCCGAAGGTCCCAGTGGGTGTGCCCGCATGCGTCCCGCACACCCATTTCGGCACACCCCTCACACGTTTCGTGGCCCCATAGGGAGCTCCACCGAAGGCCCCAGTGGGTGTGCCCGCATGCGTCCCGCACACCCATTTCGGCACACCCCTCGTACGTTTCGTGGCCCCATAGGGGGCTCCACCGAGAAGATATTCACAATTGCAGTATTCACAATTGCATATGATGGGTCCTTCGCCAGGATAATTTTCTCGGCCCCTGGGTCGTGGTCTCGAGTTCTCGGACCTTGATTCATATTCTCGTTTTCTCGGCCCCTGGGTCGTGGTCTCGTGTTCTCCGACCCTGGCGCTTGTTTTCGTAGGGTGGGGGGTCCCAGGAGGGTGGGGGTGTCAGACGTCGTGGGGGGGGCGCGGTGGGGTGTGCCGGCGCCTGTTTTTGCAGAGGGCGCCGGCGCTTGTTTTTGTAGGGTGGGGAGTCCCAGAAAAAGCATACAAAGAGGGTCAAGGAGTGTGGGTATGTCAGACGTCGTCTGGGGGCGCGGTGAGGGTGCCAGCGCCTGTTTTTGTAGGGGGGGGTGCTCTGAAAAAGCTGTAGGGTGGGGGGTCCCAGAAAAAGCACACGGAGAGGGTCCAGGAGTGTGGGTGTGTCGGAAATTGCGGGGGGGCGCGGTGGGGGTGCCGGCGCCAGTTCCTCCAATATTTCTCCATGTTCTTCCAGACAGGTCAGATATTTGGCAAATTTGGACCCGAGTGACCCACCGCGGCCAAGGCTGCGGTCAGGTGGCCCAGGTATTTGAGAAGCATGCGTGCAGATGTTTTCAAGAGCCTCGGACCGAACAGTGACGCGAAACAAAAGCACCTGGGCGTTTGCTAAACAGCCCTGCCCTGCTCGAGTTCTTTTTGTTTGGGTGCGTTTGCTGCACGGTTTCGCGTGTCGGGGCGATTCATTGTGAGGGGGGATTTTCTGCCCTCGACTCGTCCCCCTGGGTCAGGGGCAACGAGGGGGATAGACATAGGGGGGGATGCATCGACCCCCAATCGCCCATTGATCGCCGATAGGGTTGTGGAGGACGATCAATGGAGAGGAAGCATGTTGCCAAAGAACTTCCAGATGCCCAAATCATGTGCTAAAACTGTTTTAAACATGTAAAACACATGCTTGAAACATGTTCAGGACATGTTTTCCGACATGTTAAATACATGTTTTATTCGATGATAGGACTGTTAGGGTGTACATTGTCGTGGCATCCACAACGATAGGGGCCCGATAGCCCCAACTTGCCCAGTAATGCGCGGATTTGCAATCGGAGACCTATCGCCGATCCATCGGCGATGTATCGCCGATTCCTCAGGTCGCCTACCCCCCCCTTACAGTGGGGGCGCGCATCAAGAAACCGTATGCTTTTCGTTCGGGTATCCTGGGCTTCTTCGCTCCTCGCGCTGCGCGGTGACTTCCCGCCGCAGCCGTTGAAGGAGCTGCTGCGTTCAGGGTGCGCCGGCTTTCCTCTCAGGTGCACCTCGCGCACGGGTTTTCAGGTCTGGGCCTCTTGCGAGGGATTCTTGCGGCCGCGCCCGCACTGCATCGTTGCCCTTTCACTGGGTGTCCAGCAGGCTGGGCGTGGACCTCCTGGTGGACACGGAGCTCACCGTGTGGCTCGTGGAGTTCAACGTGCTGCGGAACGAGTACGGCCTCAGGGGTGCCAGGCGCGGGGCCCAGACCGGGCTGCCTGGGAGCACGCCACCCCCCCTCCCCAAACCCCGCGCGGCGGCGGCCAGAGCGCAGCGGAGCCAGAGGTCTGAGCCACGCGCAGAGGGGGGCGGGGGGGGGGAGGGGGGAGGGCTTCCTAGAAGCACCCCTGCTCCTCAGAAGGGGCGGGCCTGATCTATAGTTGTAATGCTGGCGCCGTCTAAGAAGCGGCCTCCTTCTCAGAAGCCCTCTCCTCCCTCCACCCCCTTGTTGCGCACCGCCAGAGGTCGGACTGGGCAGCCAAACTCGAAGAAGAGAAAACGTCACAGACATAAACGTGTGGCGCTCCGCGCGGCTCTCTTGGATCCGAGCTGGGCCCCCCCTGGCGGCGCCTCCGGCGCCGCCCCTGGCGCGCGGAGCGCGCCAGGGGCGCGCCAGGGGGGAGTTTCTGCCCCCGACTCGTCCCCCTGGGCCAGGGGCAACGAGGGGGATAGACATAGGGGGGGATGCATCGACCCCCAATCGCCCATTGATCACCGATAGGGTTGTGGAGGACGATCAATGGGGAGGAAGCATGTTGCCTGTCGCAGATCCAAGAAATCCGCGCGGAGCGCCGAGAGTTTATGTTCATGGCGCTGTTTATCTTGAGAAAAAAGAGGGAGCCTGGTATACCCGCTTGATTCTGTCGTCAGCGTCGATTCGCGTCCATGTGCCGATTTAGCGTCGGCTAGCGTCGATTAGCGTCGATTTAGCGCCGAAGCAGCGTCGACTTATTGTCGGTCAGCGTCGATTTCGATTTACAAGAGCCGACAAGATGGTATAGGACGCTCCTATGAGTTACCACCGAAGTCGGACCAACGATACAGATCCAACCCATTTTCCCCCCTCCACTCCCCCAGAAAGGATGAAAGCTTCCAGAGGAAGAGGGGGGAGGCTCGGATGGGGCCAGGACGAGGATATCCCCACCCGATTCTACCCTCGTCCGCGTTTCGTTTCAGAGGTAGAAGGAAGTAGGTAGGTCTTCATAGACGCTCGATGCTCAAGGACGCGGTTGAGGGGTCGGGAGGGCTCGCGAGGGGGGAGGAGGGAGGAGGGCGGGCTCTGGGCGGAGGATGGGAGAGGGCGGACGTTGCGAAGGGGGGAGGGCGGATGGGAGCGAAGGAAGGAGGGGGTTGGAGAGAGATGGGGGGCGGGGAGGGAGGGAGTGAGGGATGAAACGGAGGGCGCACGAGGAGGAGGAGGAGGAGGAGCAGGAGGAGGAGGAGGAGGAGCAGGGTGGATCAGTAGGCAAAAGAGGAGGTGGAGAAGGAGGATGATGATGAGGAGGAGGAGGAGAGGAGGAGGAGGTGGGAGGAGGGGGATGCATGATGATGGTCGTTCTCTGAACCTTAATCCTGCAGCAGAATGAGAGCCGCCAGATACATTCGCCTGTTTTCCGGTTGTTGGGTTTCGCAACAGTCGACAACATGTGTGTATATGTTTTGTAGCCTTTTCTCTCGAGATGCGGCCTGAGGGAGCAAGCCTCGCCAAATTAGGCTTCCTCCGGGCCTGGATTGTCTTGGGCCCGACCGCTCACCAGCACCTCGCCGGCGGTCCCGTGCCGCCACCCCCGCCTCCGTCGGCTGCGGAGGCCGCCCTGGAGCCTGAGGCGCCTTCAGCTGAGGACTGCGCCGCCTGGCTCCCGCCCGCTCCGCAGTGCGCGGAGCCAGTCGTGGAGCAGCGCGCGCCCTCGCTCGAGGAGTGCGCCGCCCTGCTCCTGCAGTGCTCGGCTGGCGCTCCGCTGTCCGAGCAGGCGACGTTCCAGCAGGTGCTCCTTTCTCTCGCGGGCCCGCTGCTCGTGGAGGGGCTCCGCCGGCTGGCGCCCAGGCTCGCGCGCTGCGGTTGGCGCCAGGCCCAGCGGCCTAGCGCGCCCGCGCCCGCGCCCGAGTGCACTCGACCAGCGCCGACTTCGCCGCCGGGCGGCGATCGGCCGCCGATGCAGCACCAGCCTCGAGGCGGGGGAGCCTATCGATGATTGAGGGCGATGAGGTCTTCATCAAGTATGGGGTGCAGCCACCTCTGTTGCACGGTCGCGCTGTGGTGGATGTGTCATCGGTTCGGCCTACCGACTGCGTGGCCCTCACTCCCGATGACGACCTCTGCATTGAAGAGTAGGGGCCTGGCAACACAGACATCCGCGTCTTGTACCGCCGCGTCAATGGAGGCGGCCCCCCGCACGCTAGTGGGATACCCCTTTGTACGACTTCGCGGCCCCGTTCTCACTGGCTGATCCGCCGCGCTGCGCCCGGCCGCCATTCGGATGGTTGCCGAGCACGGCGCGGCGCTCATCGCCGCGGGGGACCGGCGTGCCGTTGTCCCTGCTGCAGCCGCTGCCGACCCTGACCCCGCCGCGGCCGCGCCGGCTCCCCCACCGCCTGGTCCCGCCGCCGCGGGCGGCGCTGCGGGCCTCGCGGCGGCTCTGGCTCGGCCTGGGGGACTGGCGGGCCCCGCGCAGGCCGCTGGCCCCCCCGCGGCGGCGGTCGCCGCCGCAGTTGGGTTCCCTCCAGCGGCGGGGGCCGTCGCTCCTGTGGCCGATGCCGCCGCCGGCGCCGCTGCTGGGCACGGAGGCCTTCACGCTGCGCTGGCCGCTGGCCTGGGCCCTGCACGGGCCACCGCCGGGGGCGACTTCCGCATTTTGCCCGTCGCCTACGACGCGGAATGCAAGCGCCGCGAGGAGTTCCGCGACGCGGTCAAAGAGATGCGCCAGCTGGCCTGGCCTGGATGGATCGCGCCAGGCCCTTGCGCAGTCCTCTGGTGCGCGAACTTCAAGCTGGAGAACGGCGGCTCGGCTGTGGGGCACCACATCGCGTTCCGCTCTGCCTGTCGCCTCGGACTTGACGACCCAGCCATGCTGCCCCGTCCGGAGCTGTCGAAGATCCTCCAGACGGCGATGTGCTACGACCAGGTCGACGCCAGCAACCTCGCCTCGATGGAGCTCATCTGCCGCCAGCTCCAGCTCTGCGAGGAGAAGCTCACGGACCGCATCCTCGGCGCGACAGGGTCTGGCCACCATGAACACGACGAGAGATGGTTCTTCACGGGCCTGCAGAACACCCGAGGCGCCACGGTGCGCCCCGCCCTTTTCGAAGTGGGTCGCCGAGCAGGTGGCCGCTGAGAACGCAGCACTTAAAGAACGCCGCAAGGCTCGGGAGGGGCGAGCGCTTGCTACGCCGCCGACCCGCCGCCGCGGAGAGAACGGCGGAGGGCGGGGCTGACCGCATGGCCGCCTCGATTGATCAAGGCTGCCGCCTGCGCCCTGGCCGCGCACAGAAGCTCGCAACGCGGGCCCCTCGCTCCTGGCCGATGCCGGCCAGTCGCCAGCGAGACATTTTCCTTCTCTCGTTGCTCGAGGTGACCGCCGGGCTTCCACGCGAGCTGCGCAGCGACGTCGGCAGCGGCCTCGGCGCAGCTTGGAGCTGGGCGCGATCACTTCCTTCAACTTGCTGGCTGGCCGCTCGCGCAGCGGGCCCGCTCAGACCGACGCGGCCGTCCAGGCGCCCGTCAAGAGGAGCATCATGGACCACTGCGTCGCGCTGGGCCCCCCGCCTCGGGACGCGAGCACCCGCGGTGGTTTCCGCGAGCCCCGCGGGGGCGCCATCGCGCGTGGCGGCTCCTCCCTGGCCGCGCCCTGCAACGAGGACCTCGTTTCCTGGCCCGCGAGGGGCGCCGCTCCTGTTTCGCTGTCGGCCGCGCTCGCACCGGAGCACCATTCATGGTTGAGGGATCTATGGGCCAAATGGCGTCGCAGTGCTGATGACGCTGGCCGCCTTCGAAGGGAGTCGGGATTGGCGCGCCCTTGCTCCGACCCTGCCTTTCGCGCCCCCATCGCATTACTCTGGCTTCGTAGAGCAGCTGCGCTCCCGCGGCGTGGCGCGCTTCGCCGCGGCCTCTGGCTGGCCGCCGTCGCTCGTCGTCTTCATGGTGGCCAAGAAAAGCGGCGCCCAGAGGACCACCTTCGAAACTCGGTGGGCGAACCTTGACTTCTCGCCGCCGCCTCGCGCGCAGTTGCCCACGGCGGCCGCCTTCGGCCGGCTCGAGACCGCCGAGTGCGACGTCTGCTACCTCTACGCGGGCGACATCCAGAATGCGTTCCACGCCATCGCGATCCCCGATGCGCTGGGCGACGCCTTCAGGCTGGTTCCCATTCGGGCCGAGGCGGCGGGCTGTGCCCTCGTTGACGGCCGCCCGACTCGGCCTGGTGACTGGCTCGCGCCGCGCCTCGCTGCCCCCCCGATGGGCTGGGGCCGGGCACTCCACCTCTGCCAGCACGTGGTCCAGGAGGGCACTCGGCGAGGCGGCCTGCCTGGCGAGCGGCTTGTCAGCGACCGATCGGCGGTTGCGCCCCTGGCACCGCGGGCGCCCCAGGGCGCCGCCTACGCGGGCAACTTTCTAGCGATGGGAGGGCCTCGGCAGGCCGTCGCTTCAACGGGTCAGCGCGTGGCCAGTGCCTTCGGCGACTCGGGTTTCGTCGTGCACGAGGAGACGAGCGTCTCGACGCAGGCGCAGTTCGTCGGGCTCGAGCTGGACGGCACCAGCCATACGGCGCGCGCGTCGCGCAAGCGCGTCTGGCGGTTGGAGGCCGCTCTCGTCGAGCTTTTGGCCAAGGGACGGTGCAGCGGCGATGTCATGGAGACCCTCGTCGGCCACCTGCCGTGGGTCATGCTGATCCAGCGCTGCTCGCTGTCCACGCAGTCCTGCGTCTACTTTCGCACGGCGCAGCCGAGGGCGCCTCGAGGTGACGTGGCCTTCTGTCAGGCAAGAGCTGACCATCGCCATGGGCTTGTTTCCGCCGCTGGTCGCGAATGCAGGCGCCCGCTGGCATGACGTGGTCGCCGCCAGCGACGCCTCGCAGTGGGTTTGCGGGATCTGCCGCGGGCGCTGAAAGCTTGCCGAGGCCGCCGCCTTCGGCCGCGTCGCGGGGGCTGCTGTCGCACGGGGCCACGCGTTCTTCACGGTGGACGCGGTGGGCGCCTCGGCC